ATATATAGTTTTTTTCTCCTCCTACTCATTTTCTCTCATAAGTCCCCTGGCTGATGAGAAAGTGTTGTGTATCCCTTACATCTAACAACATTCAGCAGTTGCTCTGTTTTTCCTGCTATGACAAACATCAAGTCTTTCCTTTTTCTGCCACTGTTTTAATGCCACAGACAATTGGCTTTGTACATATAATAAAAATACAAACCTTTCCAGAGGCTGGTAGGTTTATGGGATTTTTACTGGGCCTTTCTGAAGACACAATATTATTTTTAATCCCTCCCCACACAATTCTTCAGAATTCTATAAACTACAACAAAGAAAATGAGGTCTTTGAAGACAGTATGCAAGCAGTCATCATTCCCCCTGGATTCAAAGATAATTGTCAAATGCTTGGATTACCAAGAGAATGGAGGGAATATTTCATCTCTTTGAATATCTTTGCATCCTGGGCACATGTCAGGTATCTTCAGTGTCACGTTCATTAAATCCTGTACTCTGCCTTTCAAAGTAGAGTCCTGGACAACAGATGGTATAGAACTGCACTCTGGCCAGAGGGGTTTCCAGGTGGGGCAGCTACTGTGCAAGTCCTGCTCAACTCTTGCTCAGTGGTTATGGAGAATATCAAGTCCTCAGTCCCCCCATTTTTAGGGATGCTGGTTAGCATGTATTTTCAGGCAAGAACAAATATTTTGTCTGCCTTTTTTGCACTAGTTTAAGACTGACCTGAAGAGGATTAATGCTATCTAGATTAAGAACTTTTTATTTAATATCTTACTTTTCCGTAGGGGAAAAAAAGAAACCAATAAAGGAGAGAAAGGTCCGAGTCATCCAGCCTAAATATCTGGAGTTTTCTGATCTGCTAGAGCCCTGGAGTGCAGAGCTAGCCTTTTTTTCTTATAGGATCTCTGACTATCTTGTGTGGAATTTTACCACCTCTCTTCTACTCTTCAGGAGCTCTGTGTTTTTCACTGGCAAAAAGACACAGAGTGGCAAGTGCACTTCTCTTAAGAGTCACTCTCTCATTTGCTGCGGGTCCAGTGTTAGACACAGCTTCTCTCTGGACAGTGAGACCAGGCAACTTTTGGAGCAATATATTTACCCGTGCCTCTTCCAAAAGAAGCCAAGATACTGGAGTGAATGATGAAAAGCCAACTTCTCTCCCACCTTACAGCTAGGCAGTGCAAAACTGCCATGTATGACTCTCCACAGCTATCAGCTCTGTTTCAATGGTGGTTTCAGAGATCTGCTTGTGGAAATTAATAGTCCATGGGATAAAATTGTCATTTCATCAAGCAAGGTCTTCTGAAAGTTTTCCAGAAAGACTTGATGTCTGTTTCTCCCTCCCTGGTTCAAATGCAGGGAGCCCTGAATGAAAGTGTTGGTCCCAAGAGATATTCTACAGAACCATAGGGATTTCAATCCCATGAGGCAAATTCATGTATTTTCATCATCTGCTGATGGATTAAAGTGTCATTTGCAAGAAAAAGCTCCAAGCTGGCAATGGTGAGAGCATCACACAGAGTGGTTGCATTCATACTGAGCAGCTCTGGAGCTGTCATCATCAAATTGGTCCCCTTTGTTTTCCAATGCCTGACACAATTTGTGAATAATAAATAGGACCAGGTCCCTAATGATCTCCAGGTGTGATTTAACCTGGATTAAGCTTTTCACACACAGTGTTTAGTTCTTGCAAGGTCATTTCATTTCTAATAAGTACCAGTTTGCACATGCTCAGCTGTGTTCTTGTCCTTTAATGCAGTAACTGATAGATGGTAGCAAAATATTCCTTTTGTAATGAAACCTGCTGAAGGAGACTGCTTAGGGCCTCAGAAAATATAATTTGCCAAATAAAGAATGGTCTCCAGGAAAGAAAGGAAATACTGTAATGCAGTATATATTAACTCATTTTCCTCAGGCATCTGGTGATCAGTAGTTTTTTCTCACATCAGAGAGGTGACCTGACCGTTTTTTCCAATTATTTATTGCCTCATTCACCTCTGTACTTTTAAAAGTCTTGTTTCTGTGGGTTGACATAAGTAGTGCCTCTAAAAACGTGTAAATTAACTGCATGAAGATTTATTGTAAAGGTTTCATAGGTACCAGATTTGTATCTGCATTATGCTGTCAGATTCTTAAGGTTTTCACTTATGCTATAATTAACCCAGTTTCTGGGTGAATTTCACACCCATTTTTTAGACCCAATTATGCCATTTCTCTTAAACCACTATTAATTCCTAGCAACATTGCTACTGAATTCTGATTTAGTTTATATGACTATACATACCCTGTATTTTCTCATGGCCTGCAAACTTCTTTTGGCAGCTGAATACATCAGAGTGATCTAATTTATTATCTTCTGTGAGGCAGGTAGCATTGAATGGCAGAAACCTCTCATTTTAAAGCCTCCAAGAACCTGCAACTTTCTTCTAAAGCCAGTGGTTTGCTGGGTATCTATCTTTGCTACTCATTTCCTCAGGCTTCCCCATAAAAAAAAAAATTTTACTCTTTTATCCTCTGTTCCAGCGTACAGCTAAGGAGGACTTGATGTGACTTCCTTTAGCATCCATTTACACTGTCCTATAAATCATACAAAACGTTCTGCACAGGCTCAAATCTAGGCATTAAATGAGAATCCATCTGTTCCTTGCTCCCAATGGGATTATAGTTTTTTTCTCTGCATCACTGCTTGACAAAACTTCTAATCCCACCTGAAACTATGAGTGTGCTGTGTTTGAGGCCTGTTATATCAAATACACATCTCTCTGCTCCCACCTTCCCCCCTCAGGATTTGCTATTTTTAGATTGCTTTTCCATCTCTGATGGAGTCAAAGTTGCATCTTAAACTATACCATCTCTGGTGGTATCTGCTGCTCTGCTTTTCTGCTGCAGTATCACAAAATCTGTCATCCAGCTCTGTTCTGATCTGTAACCCTCTTGTCATTACTGCCCTCTTGGAGAAAGTCGTGTAAACACCTTTTGTTTCAGCTTCTTCTTTCACTGCTTTTGGATGTCATGGCCAGCAGGAGATCCAAATTTGCATTAGCCTTTGGCTCTGTCAGGAGGGGAATCAACAGTGCTGGACAATTTAAAGCATGCTGCTGCTTCTGCTACAGTGTGCCTTGTGCATTACAACACTACAGGAGTGTTAATGCCAAGGTGATGGAGCTGCCAGAGCACCCAGGAGCACCCTTGTTTTCAGAGGGGATCACTGCCAACTCTTGAACTGCAGACTCCCAAAACTAAAAATACACAACTGAAAAGTTATTTGATCTCTACTAACTAAAAAGCCAGCAAAGGCTGATGTGCACAACTCCACATAGACCTAAGGCCAGGAGAAACACCTCAGCTGCCTATTACAACTGTGACAAAGCCCAGATCACCAAATGGACCTCACGCCTCCTTTGGTGCAGGCCAGGGCCTGTCAGATCCCCTTGTTTCTGGGGCTGGGGATGCACATGTGCAGGTATGTCACTTGTGTGCCCACAGAGTTCCTTGGCTGACACGTGGCAGCTTGTTCTTCCTTGTGACACGGAGGAGCACTGGTAGCCACGATGCATCTGAGCCACGAGGCAGCTGCCCATTGGAGCAGGCCTATGAAGAGCACAGACTACGTCACTGAGCACAGACTACGCCATTTGGCTCATGCTGTTTGTAGTTTCTTTTTCTTTTTCAATTAAAAATGGGGAAGTGTGTGGCTCTTTTTACCAGTCTCACAGACTGTGAAGCCTTTAGTCATCCATAAAGAGGCATATTTGACATACTTTGGAGTTTATGCCTTTTTTTAGCGAGGATTATTCACACCTTCAGAAATGCCTCCAAGCAATCCAAGTCCAGTGTCCCTCTTCTATTGCCAAAAGTCCGTGCCAAAATTTTTGGAGCAAGGCATCACACCATGGGTATATCCTAAATGAGCCACATCATTATACCAAATAGTACATATTTGCCTGCATTTAAGGCTGCCCAGTCCCACACAACCTCCAGCAGCTTACCTTGACTCCCTCAAACAGAACAAGAGCACCATTCCTTCACAGTCCCACCTCACAGCACCGTGTCTCCAGCACCATGATCTCTGCCTCCAAGGTTTTGCATGGACCTGCTGAGCATTCCCCAGAGCAGATGCAGCAGGGTGAGTCACGGCCTCACTGAGGAACGAGTCATTGCACATTGGCTGCTCCATGGAAACAGCCCATGGATATGCTTGAATATCATGCAATACACTCTGAGGTCACTTGCATGCCTTGGAAATAATTTATTTCCTTCATCTGTGCCCAGCCACACAACTGCCTGGCTACTTCTGATGGAGCATCTGCTATGTGATCTCTCAGACGAAATTTAGGTGGTTCAGGACACCTGATTCCAGAAAAAAAAAGAGCTCCAAGTGGGAGCCTTGACTTGTTTGCCCTTCAGGTTGGTGCACTTTCAGTCCTTAAAATAAGATGGCTTTATGCAAACCACCTGTTAGGAACGATCTTCCTGAAATGGGGGTGCTGACCCCCAAAACATACCTGAGAGTTGTTTGGGATGGGCCAATGGCATGCCAGATGCCAGACACTGGTTGAAGAGTGTAACAGGGCAGAGGGTTGTGCTCTAGTAGCTAGAAATGTTGTAGAGACTGCTGAATTTACTCTTATGGCTGTAGCTGAATGTCTCCATCCATGTTCCCTGGAGGCGGTTTACAGATTTAATAGCTACAAAATGTGAATTTTCTGACCATTTCCTCACTTTATGGCACAATCTCTCCAGCTGTTATAATGAAGAAGCACTAGCAACAAAGTTATTACTTACTCCTCAAGCAAAATTTCTCTTCTTGGCAGCACTTGGCATAAAGGTAGTTCAAAATGTGTCTTAATATTCTGCAAACAAATCAATTATTTATAATTGTCTTGTCTTTAGATGTGAATTAAAGTAATGATTTTTTTATATATAGTTAAAAGGAAGCAGACAAGTTTAATTGAGATAAATGAAATCTACATGACCACCTGTTTGTTTTTTAAACTTTATAGGAAATCAATGTATTGACAGTAGCATTGGTCAACCAGGACAGAGAAAAGAACTCAGAGAAACGAAGCCCAGGTCTAAAATCAGAGAAAGAGGCACTATTAATAGGTAAGAGAACCCCAAAGAAGATTTCTGAGAACAAAATGCCCTCTAACAGGTTTCTGTTTTGCATATATGTTTACACACATCTTTGTGCTAAGTAAAAAAGAAAAAATAATAGAATTTTTTTTATCTGGGTTCATAATGGCTTTTAGTAAGAAAAAATCCTAAAATACAACTGAACTTTGCCATTCTGAAAATTTCTGCAGTTTAATGAAAGGATTTCAGGTATGAAGAAAATTGCAGAATCTAAAGTCATCATATATTCATGCTTCATTTAGACTTGCAGCATGAATGTATGATGACTTTATTTACATCAAGATTTAGCAGGCCAGAGTTGTATAGCTTGTTATATGTTTATTAGAAAAAGTGGTGAAGGGGAAGGGGATGGAAATAATATTAGTAAACTACCAAGCAAAAAATGTATCTACTACATGTATTAAGCAAGCCAGATTTATGCCTTTGACATTAGGTGAGGGAATTAGCAATATGAATATTTATAAAGAATACCACAAGGACTGTCATACCCTTTACCTAGAATAAAATTTTTAAAATAAACTCTTAAATAGTGCCTAAAGCTTATAGGCAGTGGGCCAGCTAAGTGGCATTTAGCCACACAGAACTGGCTGTACCCATGCCACCCTTGGAGGGAACATGCCACATGTTTAGACCCACACATATTTTTGCATTTGGTTTCAATGGGGTAGGTTTTCAGGGAGTATGAAGGCCCACAGCTCCAAAGCATACCCTGTGGCATGGCAACAGAAATGTTGAGCTGAAAGAACAGGTTCAATTTCTTTGGTTTAGTCTTTTCACAAATCAGTGGTATCCTGATAAATGGTAGTTCCAAGACTGCCTTAGTTTGTTTAAATGCAACTCGTTTTCATCACCTAGGCACCAGGAAGATTGCTGGCCTATTGCTGAGGCACAGATTCAGCAGTTCACAAGTTCAGTTCAGGCCAAAGAGGTCATTTAAAAGTGAAGAATGTATCTAAACATTTAAAGTGCTTAGTACACAAACTCCCTGTGATAAGGGAGATGCAAACAGTGGAATATACAGAAATGTATGACTTGATTGAATTCTGCTTTTTATAATTAAATCCAGAGTTTTAATTGCAGGGGCAGTACTTGATCTTCTCGAAGTTCAGCCTGTGAGAAAGACTGCAAGAATGAGATTTAAAAAACGGAATAACAAACTTTTTTTCTAGGTCACTCAATATCTGACTGTAACAAATGGTGGCAGTGTCCCAAAGTGGGTCCTGAACATCTGCTGTTCAGTGGCACACTCAGATAAACAGAATAACCTCAGTTAAGATATTACTGGTCATAATATCCCACAACTGACTCACTGTTACAGTCCAAAGATTAAAGATTCCTCAAGATGGATTTCATGTTATCTCTTCCTCTGAGGCATGATCAGATATGGCAAGGGAATAATGGGCCTTGCCTCCATCCATTCACCAAGTTTTTCTGTATTTTAAAAAATGCGGTGTTGTCTTCGAGGAAAAGAGCATAAAAGAAAAAAAATATCATGGAACTCTAGTCAATAATTACAAAATATTGACAAATTACATATTATTTACATTATATGAAAGAGCTGGCTTTGAATGTCCTGAATTCAAAAGCCTCAGGAACCACATAACAGATGCAATGACACTGGTAAAATGTGATTTGAGTACAAATTGGATTTCCAGTCATCTCACCCAAGTGTGATGGTCTTGACTTCTGCTTCTAGAGCTCTTTTGTGGTTACCTGTAGTCACCCCCAGCACAAGGAAGGTCACTGCTGCTAGGACTTGCCATAGTAAAAAATTTATTATATGCCACTTCAAATGCAGGACCAGAAGTTTATAAATGCTGTTTGAAAAGTGGAGGAGGAAAAAAGGTGTGCTTTGCAAAGCCAGTCTGAAATGCGTTAAATATTGCTTATCAGTTTCAACCATGGCCAGTACTTAGGGAAAAACTAAATCCAAGATTATCCAAATTCATTCAGCATCAAGAAAGCAGTATGGCCTGCAGTACACAAGATACAGTGACCCATTTTTGTCATTTGTAAGCATTTTTAATCCTGGTGTTTGTGATTTAAGTATAAGAAATTTCCCCTAGGGTGGTTCAGCTAAGAAGCCCATCCAAAGAGAGTTGAAAATATTTGTTCTGATTCTTACAGTTCAGCTCTCCCCAAACAGCCAGTAACACACATGCCATTTTGTATTTTCACTGTTTGCTTAGAAGAAGAGATATTGGGTAGTGCTTTTAATAGCAATACTGATGCCCCAAATCTTGTTTTCTCTGGTCATCATTATTAATACTGTCACTTGATTTTCACTGCAAAAAAGGACCTCTAGACTTAGATCCTGACTCCATCTAAGCCATTTTTAATTCCCATACCTTTTATGATCATCCTGAAACAACAATGAAGATAGACAGAACATGCTCTCTCTTAAGAAAAAGTAAATAAGCAAATGTGTCATAAAGCATTTGTGTTTTCTTCAGCAGCATTTAGGGGTAATATGGATTAAGTACTTTTCATAACCAGCATCTGCATAATTACTAGAAAAATTTGAGGGAGTGAGGGTTCTGACACAATTGTATGAAACGTTTTCACAACAGAGAATCCAGTGAAGGGGAAAAAAACAATAATTTTACCATTACCATATCCACAATTTTATATTGGTAAATCAAGCATAAAATTAGTAGTTGAAATGCTCCGAGCAAGGCTTTGTTTAGAAATTCCTTTATTCATCAGTATATTATCTTGGTCACTTACTTGCTAACTGCTGTCATTCCTGAAGATGAGCTATTGTATTTAGCACATTACTATGACTGTATTAAAAATGTGCTGGTTTGTTATGTTTATTGAGTTGTGCAAGGAAAATAAGAGTCATAATTCATGCTGAAAAACCTCAGAACAGACTCTTCAGAATTATTTTGCCTATTTTAATGATACAGTGTCTGAAGTAATTTTAACACTTTGTGTCTGTTTGTTTTTAATACAGGTATCATATCCACATTTCTTCACGTCCACCCTTTTGGAGCCAATATAGAGTATCTTTGGTCTTATATGCAGCAGTTGGACTCTAGGGTAAAAAAAAATTAATCAAAATCTATTTTCTTTTTAGAAATATTGTATTATTCTTTACTGCAGGTTAAACTCTTCATGCATTTCCATTAGAAAGATAATGGGATATGGGGCTTGGGGGTTTGCAGTCTTTATTCATTTGCAAATTACAGTGCACGTGCTTCTGTTGAGGTCTTTGCCTCAAACTGCTTAGCTATCCTTTGTGGCACTGAAGAGCAGAGCTCTAAATGGCAAAGACTAGCAGCTGATTTCATGACACATGATTCTGAAATATAGCTGGGGAGAAAAAAGCAGAACAAGAGGCAGGTTGTGGCCATGGCCATCAAACTGTGCAGTTTTTGGAGATGGCCCTTTGTTTTTTGAAAAGCTGTGAGTTGTATGTCACACTGAACCTTTATGATCACAGGAATGGACCACGTTTCATGTCCTTTGTCTCCATGTGGGAGCAGACACAACCACATAAAGGAATTGGGTGCACTAATTTCAGTGAAGCTGTGGCCAAGACAAAAGTGAGGCCAGCACAAAACAGTGTGCAAAGTGTTTAATGCATCAGTTCATACAGTCTACAGTCAATAAATACCTGTAGGATAAGATTCTTTACTTACTTTTTAATATCTGCTGTAGAATGAGATTAAATCAATCCCCCAGATAGGCCTGTTTCTCTGCACTGAATATTAAGCAAGTCAGAAGGTGAGAAGCTCAAGTGTGAAATGATGAGGTGAAAGGTACTCCAAGTGCTAAGCAGCAGCTTAGCAGATGCAGGGGTCACTCTGTGGCAGCCATTGCTCTGTCCCATGTGTGGCAATACTTGGGTGATGGTACTTTCCCAGATCTTGCAACACATCTCCTTTGATCCTGGTAATGTTTTGTTCCTGAGCAGCCCCCTCAGCCCATAGCTAAGATCAGCTTCTCACTGCTTTGGTGAGCTGCTTCATGCTTCTGGATGATCCTGGATCCTTCCTCTGTTTCTATGAAAAAGTGCAGAGCTAAAAGCGGAGGAGATCCTGAACTAGAAGCACACTGGAATTACAGCAGGCTGCATTGATGAATGAGGAAGGATGATGAATTTGGTAGGCACTGCCTTCAGGCCACGGCAACTCAGGTTTGCTAGTGCTTTACAGTCCACCGCCACCCACAATGAAAAGGGAGTAGGGGATGGGGATGGGAGAAAGAGGTGAGAAACTGGTGAATTTCAAATTTTTAAAAAATATTTGGTTTTATCAAGACCTGATGAATCAAGAGCTTCACATTTCTGCTTCTCTGTGCCCCTGCCACTCATTCACTTTGCTTAGTCTTGTCCTGCATCACCCAGTCTGTCCAATCTCCTCAGTTATCTTTCAAGTCCCTCCTTAACACGGCATTTGTCTAAGTTTTAACTGCTTTTTTCCCTGGATGACCTCTCCAGCTCTGTATCTCTTGAGTGATGACAGCAGTCATTCCAAAATATGGACTCTCTGGGCTCCAGCCCTGCTGCTCATTGCTTCTCCCTAGTGAGCTCTTCAGCATTCTCACCCTGCACTTCTGTGGTCCCTTCTTGTGCATGGCTGTGGGCTCTGCCCTTGAGTTTTTGCTCACATGAGTAACATGTGGGCTCCTGTGAGGCTGCCAGGGTCAAGCTCCTGACTTGCAAACAGAACCCTCAAGGAAGGAGCATTGTCTGCCATCCCTGCAGCTACCTCTGGACCTACCTACTGCATAATAAACACGAGCTGCAAAATTTGACCTCGTTGGTTTATTTTGGAAGCAACTGCTTGTAGAAACAAATTACTTTTTAATAGCGTGATCCAGAGATGCAATCTCAGAGATGAATTTCAATTACTTTCCATGGTTAGCCTGTCATTCCTCGCCTGAACAGGAATGATAAGGTCAGCATACCCGTGTGGGCTGAGGGCTCAGTATACATTGCACAAAAGTAACCGGACACCCACTACTGCCATGTGAGTACTTAAAAGATGGGTTGGATGACACTGAGGCTTTAGACTGCCTCCAGCACTGAGTTTTGGTGCCACCTTTAAAAAATAATTTAATCTTTCTGCTGCACTAACCTCTACAGAAAAATAAGAGGCAATAGATATTTTCTTACCCCCAGTGGGTGCAGTGAAGTATAAATAGCACATTTTATGTTTATATACTGTTTCAAAAAGGAAAGGTTTCTTCATGGAAGGTTTCTACTACTATGAATAAGCAGAAATATAATTATTTCCAGATAAACCTCTCAAACCATGGAGATACCTGTGGATGACAGGCAGCACCCATAGATTTCTTTGCTGTTCCTTTCATGACCACCACTTTAGAAGCAGTAGGATAAAATGGCTCACATTCCATGATTGTTCATTTCTTGACTTCCCTACTGATTATACCAGAAAGGTTGCCTTTGTGAAAGTGTTTTCTGTAATGAGAGCATCTTGCCTATTAGGAAGGTGAGCAGTCATTAAGGTTTCAAAATGATAGAAACATCCTGAGCAATGCAGAACTGGGAGCTTTACTGCTTAATTATCTGGGTCTGCTGAACTGGGTAAGACCAAGGAAAGGTGACTCCATGGATAGTCAGCTTTCAGTAACAACAGGGAGCTGATCAAAATATTTTTGAAAGAGAAAAGCTGGTGGAGCTGGGAAAAGCATTCAAAACCACGTAGGCAGAGAAGAAGAAGAAGGTCCCGTCTGCTTCCTTGTCCTCACAAGAGCACCTATGACTGTAGTTTTTAGATGGACTTCATACCACACTGTGGCCAGAGGCCCAGCATGGCACTTGCCATTGCTTTACAGGGGGATGCTTTACAGGCATCTACAAGAGCAAAATCATTCCTTCAAGGAATCTGCACTTTCTTTGGAGTCTGGAAAGTCATATCAGGCTAAGGTTAAAAAAATGGTTGGCTGCTTTCGCATGGCCTGGATTCGTCTCCCCCCACAGCCCTATTACATCTGTTCTCAATGTTTCCTCTTTACAAGCTACAGGACAGCTTTCTCACTTCAATTTTACCTTTGTTTCGTTCTCAGATCTCTGCAAATGAGATAGAAATGCTTTTGATGAGACTGCCACGCATGTTTAAACAAGAATTCACTGGTGTAGGAGCAACACTGGAAAAGAGGTGGAAGTTTTGTGCCTTTGAAGGAATTAAAACTGTCTGACTGTGACTAGTAATGAAGCTATGCAGAAGAAGAATTCCTAGAGCATGGCAGGGTTATAAAGTATTAAAGTAAGAATTTTGGGTTTGGGCACATAGTAGTATGTTTTCAAAGTTATCCAAGCCTAATTTTAGTTACATTTGTGACGTTCTCTTGTGAGTGGAAATGTAGTTGTGCACCAGTTCCTAAAATAAAATAAAATTTCAAAAAAAGTTTCAAAATGTGACAGATTGTTTCCTATGAAAACTGAAGAAAGATACCACAGTCATAATGATTTCAAAATACTACATGTCCTACATCTAAGAAAAGCTCATTGAGCAAACAGTTAAGGAGAAAGATTGCCGGTTATGGTCGCTAAGCTACAGCGATCTATATGTGATATGTAATAGAACTCATTAAGTTTTGTTATAGAAAGTTCTTTCTGTTTAGTAAGAGAATTGAGTAATTTTACAGTGAGGAAAAGCATACCAAAAGAAAACTTGAAGATGTGTCTGAGGTTATTGTATTTTGTAAATTAAGTTATATGCTGTACCAGGGATTTTTGCCTTATTGAAAGAGGCCTGAAAATGTGATTGGAGTCCTCAAGAATGCTTTATCAAGAATATTATTTTTCTAATGTAACTATTCTCCATTACAAGTTCTTTTAACATGGATTGCATATCAATTTTCATAAACATGTAAATAAGGAAGAAACCAGTGTTACTGTATTGTATTTGGTATGTAACATTCAGGTTTATGCATCAAAATAAATATTCAGTTGCATTACTGTTACAAATTTTATAGCAGATATATTAATTTTTATCAATAAATATGACTTCTACCATATTGTTTGCATAAGTATTTCTTCTGACGTTATTGAATTTTAATTGATCCAGCAAGAGATTCCTGGAACATCTTTCCCCTACATGAACTATTAATTGCAGATGACTTTGTTAATTGAACTATAAATCAAAAATTTGCAATATTAGCTAAGATTAAAATATTGGTAGAAGAAGTAGCAGCATGGGCCTTTGATTTTATTTTTCAACAAGCAGATGGGTGAAAAATGAACACATTCAAATTTCCTCTTTTCCTTGTTGCGTTGGGTAAGAGCTGCTGTGGGTAAGAAACAGCAGCCCCCTCTTGGGCACATCCCTGTGCAGGCAGAGGAGCCAGACACCAGAGAGCTGGTCCTGTGAAGTGGGGCACCGACAGTGGGAAATAGAGAAAACTGAAACAGATGCAGGGAGTCTCCAGATACATGTCAGAGTGAGGTTTCTCTCAGGTCCTTCAATAAACAGCAATTAGTGTCAAATGCATTTAGTAGTGAAGGAACTCTCTAACACAGCTTTTGGTGATTGGTACTTTAAGATCTATTTTTCTTCTGGCATCTACCTGGAATATAGAAGTATTAAATGAAATGCTAATTGTGTACAAAATGGGAAAAGAAAGAGGCTTAGTAGGTCTATTATGGGAAAAAAAATTATGCTTTCAGGCAGTACACACAAAATTTAAAAAATCAAGTACATCTCAATTATGGTTGATATAGAGCCTGTGATAAGCTACTCAGGTGAAACTAGTAATTATATGCCAGTTATGTTAATGAAAATTAACTAGTTTAATCCAAGTAATAACTCTTTCCTCTCTTGAGATCATTCTGTTTCATGAATAATTCTGACATAAATGTGTTAAGTATGACAGCTTGTATTTAGGTACTATAACATAAATGTGTATGGATGCCACTTAGGCTGGGTGAGACAACTTTCACCTCAGCATACTCCTTGTCATACTTTTTCATTATATTCTGTCCTTCCTTTCTTTGTCCTTCTTCGTTTTTTTTTCCCTTTGCTGTCTCTCTCACATGACAACTTCAAATCCAGACAGTCAGAAAACATTTGTTTACCGAACCTTGTAACCTAATCACTATATTTGTTTTGCATATATTTTTATTCTTCTTCATGGAGTTTTCTTATCTGTCTGGAATGGTCTAGAGATTTAGAATGGTACCAGAGCTTTAGACTGGTACATTTTTCATCCTTGTATAGTATCAGCTAAAAGGGAACTCCTTAACTGGCGTTTAGATACTGCCAAAGATCTAAAATTCGAGTATGAGTAGCAGGTAGGCATCCTGTAATATTGTAATGTATCAGTTGAGAACCTGAAATCCAGGGAGATCCATCAGGTCAGGCTCAAGAACTAGCTTTAACTTTGTGTACTTTGGGCCAAATTGGATTAAAGTGTTGAGCTCCATCATTTAGGTGCTGAAATGTCCCTATGATGACTCTTGGGATATCCAGCTGGGAGTTCTGCAGTTAATACAGTGAGATTAATAATGAGAAAGCCACTTGTGATACAGGATTTGATATAGGATTTTTTTATATACAGGAAAGCCACCTAGATTGGACATTAGGGAGCATTTCTTTACTGAGATAGTGGCCAAACACTGGAATGTGTTTGGCCAGAGAGGTGATCAATGCCCCAAGGCTGTTAGTGTTTGAGGACATTTGCACAGTACCTTTAATGACATGATTGTAACATTTTATGAGCCCTGATGTGGTCAGGCAATTGAATTAGATGCTCCTTATAGGTCCTCACAAGACCTAAAGCAAGTTTGTGCAGCTGAATCCGATTGAAGGACGATGGTCATTTGGCAAAGAGCCAAACCCAGTTACAGTTAGCAGGATCTTCACCACAGTAGTGGGGGAAAACAAAAAAGGGCCAAAGAGGTATGACATCAGGCTAACCATGAGCTCAAGAGATGAGACTGAGCAACAGCCTGGCATGCAACTGCAAGTTATGGAAGAGAGTTATAGCAATGCCCCCTCTTCTCAAATAGGGACTGGTGGAGCAGGAGAAGATTTGATTTCTAACTGCCCAAACATGCTGAGGGCATTTTGCACTGAATTCTGAGTTAGGTTGGCCTGAACTCCTGTTCTCCCAGGAGAGCTTTTCAGACCATCTTCAGCTTTGAACTGTCTTGGACTGATGTCTGCAAGGGGTGACTTTCATCAGCTTAGAGGGGGCAGCCTCTTACTGCACTGTATCTGATTCCCACTAGAAGGATTAAGAGATACACTGTGCAAAACCTCCTGGACAAATGTGCATTTAACCCTGCACATTCAAGGGAGATAAGTGTAACCTCCCTGTTTAACTGCATTTTCTGCTCACAAGAGATGTTTTATGTTTGATTATGTTTGATGAAGACTGCATTATCTCCATCACTGAAAAGGAAATTCTTAATGTCTCCTCATACATAGTGGAGTCAATTGTTTATTGAAGTGTGTGTGTTTAGAGCAAAACTTGCATGTTCAGGACTACCAGAGCATCACATTCACTTAAGAAACAGCTATACTGAGATTTAGAGAAAATCCTGCATCAAGCTATGCTACATTTAGCTACACATGATGTGCAGCAAATGCTATGGAATCTAAAGCTAGAAAATTGGTTGTAAGAGCATTCTGGGTGGTTTGTTTAAGTAAAAATTCCAGTCTTGCAAGCATTGTTTTATTTAAAATCAGAATGGCTTTGACAGCCAGTGTTAGTATGACAAAAATGTTCTGGGATTATACGAGTTGATTTGGGGAAGAAGATTTTGTTAGAGGAGGGAAAGGAGAGAGGTGGATTTGGATATTCTTTTGGTCCCTCTAACCAAGTAATTAGCCAGATCTGACGAAGAACTGATGTCCACTTTTTCCACTTAAATGCATCTCAATGTTCAGCATTAAAAGTGTGCAGCTTTTATGATTTTTTTTTCTTTTTTTGAGAAAAGGTACAAGTTGTCCCTTGATTTGTCACTCTGGTTATCCTGCCAAGTTCTGCAGCTCTTCTGCTCTAACTTTTCCCTCAAAAAGAAAGTAGAAACAGCATCAAATTCTTTCTGGTATTGTGTGTGACTGCTTGGACAGCAAAAACTGATAACGTATTTACTGAGTTAAAACTGAATATTTCAATACCAAGTAAGTCAAATGAAAAACCAGCCAGATCAGGAAATTATGCTTACAAGGTACAGATACTCTGACTTTATAAACCCATTACATTGAATTTGTAAGCAAAATCAAATCGATATGCTCAGGAGTATCTTTGATTAAGTGTTCTGCCTCCCACTTGGTAACACTGTGCCTGTTCAGATTTAATAAGCTGATGTCAGGTGCCCTTCCAATGGGGATATTTGTGGGGCAGCAAGAGGAAAAAGGTTTATATTCCTTTAAACCTAGCAGACAGCATTCCTGCAATCATAACACAGACATATTACAACCATTTGCTCAGACTTCTGGTTGGTAAGTACTTCTTGCCAATTTATGTACTTTTATACACATAACATTGAAGCCTAAAAAAACCATTGCCTTGGACTGCTCATGTCTTAGCCATGTCACTGTTAATTCTGTAGTGATCCCAATAGCATAAGGTAGATTAAAATACACCTGCCATAAAAGCATCCAGCCATAATCAAGGTTATCAACTGATTAAAAAGATATTTTTTGCTTGATAGTTTCTTAGAAGAGATTAGCGCTGTCAAAATTGGATCCAAACTTCCTAACTTCATTTTTTCTGGCTTCTTCTAGCCAGGTTTGCTTTTCTCTGCAAGATTAAATACTCCTTTAGTACTGCATATTTTCTCCCCGTGAAGATATTTATATATTGTAGTCTATTTACTTCTCAGTATTCTTTCTTATAAGCTTAACAGATTGAGTTTTTAAGTGTTTTGCAATAAAGTATTTATCTTCTCTTCCTTGAATCATTGCATCCTTTTTTTTTAATATCCTTTCCAATATTTCAAAACGTGTTTTAAAATGTGTGGAAAAAAACTGTTACTTGAATTAAACTGATCCATTTATAGCATGCAGACACACAGCCACATCTCTGCTCCAATTCAACTCTTTACTTCCTATTCCTGTCAGACTGTGAGCTGATCACCAATGTCAAAGCAGTAACACAAGTGAATTGCTGTTGGGTCGTTTTCTTCATCCTGGTGTAATAGATTTCTCTGCATAGATACGTTTCTGTCTGCTAAAGCCTGGCTTTTTTATCCCCACTGACAGGCTTGCTTGTGCAAGGCCAAAGGTCTCACCCCATGAGGATATTTTGAGGCTTAGATCCCATGCACAGCCCTGTTCTTCCCTGTGGGGTAGGTTTGGGTAACTTTCAGATGTTTATAGCCTTTCATGATTAAAATGGGGTGATCAGATTTGCTGCCGGGGTGTTCGGATCGCATCAAGCATTCAGAGGGCAATCGCACAGGCTTTGTCTAGACTAGGGTTTAAATGTGTGTCATTAGCACATATTAGCTGATACATTTTAAAAGTCTGATGCAGACGAGGCATAATGCCTTAATGTGAAAAGCTGGCTGAGTTAGGCCCTTGGGCATCGGCGTTGACACTGGTTTGTCTATTTTAGAATTTTAGAATAAGGTAGCTGAGGGCTTGCCTGCAAAGACCAGTTAATTTGGAAGAATGTAGGCTATAAATTTAAAGGGCTGCTCCAGGACTTAAGGCAAGAAAAATCTCAAGTAGTTGCTCTGAAATAGCTCAGTATAATATAATATACACTTAACTAGGTAAGTTTTCCCTCACTTTTTTCTTTTTTTTAACTTTCCGCAGAAAAAAACCAGTTCCCATATTAGAGTTGTTGTATTTAAAAATTAACCCTCTGGTGCATTTCTGTTTTTATCACTGCTCCTTACTGAATCCAGCTGATTAGCCTGGTTGTGTCTGGGGAGGAGGCTGGAAAACTTGTACACTCTGCAGATCTGATTGCTGACGTTAAAAGCTGACTTGCATTTCACAGGGGGAAGACATGGTACGCCTGTGAGAAGAAATGTGAGTGAAGCAACAGAAGACCATAAAATA